GTGCAAGGCCGGTGTCCGGGCGGGCGGCGGCCCGGGGCTTTCTCACGAGGCGTGTCCTCGGCGCCCCTTGCGACTTTTCTTTCTGTTCCCGGGGGGCGGGGGACGGATGGTTCTCTCCGCTCCCCGGCGCGAGGCTAGGGTGGGCGGTGGTGTGGGGAGCCCCGGCGACCCCCGAACCGCCCTTTGCGGCGGCCTTGGCCGCGGACCGGGCCGAGTTCTGCAGACAGCCCCGGTGATGGGGACGGAGGGCGGATGGCCTCCTCGGGGGGCCGTCGCGAGGAGAGTGACGAGCGGGGTCGCGTGGCGTGTCTTCGAGGTGCTGGAGCTGGTGACGGCGACCTGCAGAATTCACAGGCCTCGCCCACGAAGTGATGTCACTGGGCTCCGCGTGGAGGTGAACACGGGCGAGAGCCACTGGCAGGTGTCCTCTGGGTCGCCGCTGAAGGTGATGGAGCCGGGTCTGAGCCAGGCAGCCGCGGGGCCCGCGCCCCCGACTCCCGTACTGTTTTGCCCCAGGAATGGAGATCTCTGAAACAGGGGTCCCCAACCTCCCGGCCAGGGGCCTCTTCCACGAAACTGGTCCCTGATGCTAAAAAGGTTGGGGACCGCTGCTCCAAAGGAAACCGGGCTGCACGGTGGGAGGTGAGCGGGCGGCCGGCCAGGGAGCAAGCTTCCTCTGTGATGGCAGCCACGCTCCATCACTCGCGTTGCAGCCTGAGCTCCGTCTGCAGTCAGATCAACAATGCCTTTGATTCTCACAGGGGCGCGAAGCCTTTTTGTGGACTGCGCACACGGGGGATCTAGGTTGCGCGCTCCTGACGAGATTCTAAGGCATGATGGTCTGAGGTGGAGTTGAGATGGTGATGCTAGCATGGGGGAGAGGCTGCAAATACAGATGACAGCAGCTGCGAGGTTGACTGCCCAGAGACCACAGTTAAATTGGTTGCTTGCAGACTCATATTAATAATTTCATAACAATTATTTCATTGTGTATTACGATGTAATAATAGGAATAAAGTGTACAATAAACGTAATGCACTTAAATCCTCAAACCATTCCTGATACCACCACCACCTACTCCCCTACCCCCGGGGAAAAATTGTCTTCCACGAAATTGGTCCCTGATGCTAAAAAGGTTGGGGACCGCTGCTCCAAAGGGCCTGTACTGTGCCTGGTAGGAGCTCTGTCTTTTAATAGCACTTACTCCAATGAATACCATATTCTGTGTACTGAGAAAATATAATAGAAAACAGTACCTAATTTTAGAAGCCCATGGTCCAGTTAGGAAGACAAATACCACATTCTTAAGATAGTTAAAACATTATTAAAATGTAGATTGAAATACAATTCTTATGTCATTGCTAATTGACCATTCTTGCTTAGATCTAGGAAAGTCCTTGAAGATTAAATTGACTTGGAAATTATAAACAGAACAATGGGTATGTCATTAATTAGTGGTGACCAAAACTGTCTTCTTTATCCATATTCCTATTTGTGAGATAAATGATTGAATTGAAAGGAAGAAATAAGACTTGGGAGGTGACTATTTTAAAATGTGAAGATGGAAAAGAGAAAGAGGGGTGTTCTAAGAACAGTTACTAGAACGCTGAGCTATTGGAGGAATCCCAGGATTGCTGACGATAAAGTGATATTTAGCCATGAAAATAAAGAGGATGATCATAGTAATTGTGAAAATTTGTGACAAATGTTTTCCAAGTTACCTGTCTTTCAATTTCTCATTTTCAGTATGTCAGTATTCATTTAAAAATGAAAAAGTTTTAAAAGTTATTTATAAAAAGTATAAAGTAAGAGTTAGATTGGTGAAAATAAGGATGAGCTGCTTATCAGGGGAGGCCAGTTCTATTTAGCTTTGTAGTTTTTTAAAAAATTACAGTCTCACTGGATCTTAAATTTCTTTATTTTTTAACAAAGATTTATGAGTACCTATATACAGTGTGACAAATTCTTTGCGAGACATTATGGGAGGTACAAAGCAGTATTTTTTTTTTTTGAGTTGGAGTCTCACTCTGTCGCCCAGACTGGAGTGCAGTGGCCGCTCCTGGCCACCGCAGCCTCGACCTGCTGGGCTCTGGCGATCCTTCTGCCTCAGCTTTCCAGGTAGCCGGAATTATAGGCATGCGCTACCACACCCAACTGATTTTTTGATTTATTGTAGAGATGAGGTCTCGCTACCCAGGCAGGTCTCAAACCCGCGGGCTCAGGCAATCCACTCACCTCAGCCTCCCAAAGGCGCAGGATTACAGGCTGAGCCTCTGAGCCCGGCTCAAAGCAGTATTAAACATGGCCATTGGACTAAAATACCTTATTGATTATTAAGCTACACTTACACATAATTTGGAAGGTAAAAATAAGTGTATAAATTCTTGTTTTTTACTGTATTGCAGTAAAAAAATTTAGTTTTTAATAAATAGATTATTCTTGTGGATTTGCTGGTAAATTCTACATATCCAACATGATACATTCATCTACAGTTCTGTTAAGATACGACTTAATGTGGAGGGACTTATGGAAATAACTTGAGAAAAAAATCTAAAGTAAAAGCACTTTACTAGTAACCTAATTTATCTTGTTCTCATACTTGATTT